CTAAAATCTGCAGTAGACCAGAGAAACATACACCCAAATTAAATTTACACCAAAATTATTAATTAACATTACCTTTACTAATTTAAACAATGAGATTAAGTCAAAGTCGCATAACTGGCAATTTGCACAGACGAATTATCAGAGCGAATTTTCATATACTCTATTATCCTACTATTGTTACACAATTTATTAACATACTCTTTTTTAGGTTCATTTAGGTTCTTTTGATAACGATAGCAGAAAATAGCTATCGAAACGTCAAGGTAATTTTATAAATTAATTTCTCTACTAATGGGAATTTTCTCTTACAGCTTGAGCCTAAGTGTGTCGCAGGATACCCTCTAGGTGATAGTTCTTGATTACTTCTTGATAAATAATTCGTTCCTATTGTGAAATAGGAGCACTATTTATCAATCTGTAATAAAAGATGTGAGGAAATTCTGTCTTTTTTAAAGACAAACATTTTTGAGGCGAAATACCCAAAAGGAAGTTTGTAAAAAAATAAATCCGCCTCAACAATATAGAACTTATTTACTTTGTAGTATTCATTGTTTTTGCCCAAAAAAATTACTTCTCTTGCCAACTTGGACATTTTTCTTAATGAAAATTAGGTCAGAGCGTCTTTTTTTGAGCCAAGCGATGCTTCAGAGTATAATGAGAGGAGCCAAAAACCACAAGGGGAGAAAAATGCGAAAGTTTGGAGTCAGACCTGATGTTTTCCACTCAAACTCAAAAGAAATGCACCAATTATCTTTTATTGGCCTGTATGGAGAACTTTAACTGCATACTTGGGCACACAAATTAAATAACGGTATATTCCCCAAAGTAAGATCCCCTAAATATAGTTTATTTGGCCTATAAACCCGGAAAAGTTTATATTTTATTTGCCGAGTTAATTAGTCTCTTTATTAGCTAATCCTGAAAATAACTGCTCGAGCCCGGTCACTTTAGGACCAATAAATGTCCACAGTTTAGCCGAAGTTTATTATTTATTTCGCGGAAGTTTTATTTATATGACACGCTTATTCGTTTTAATAGTCCCCAGGCTATTTAAAATTGTCTAGATTTGATTAACTAATTGAGGTTTTTTCTTTGGCACAACAGCGGTGATTTGTTAAAATTAGGGTAAATTGAGGGGCCAATAAGTTGATGAGGCCAATGATGATATCTGCTAGTGACGCTCTAATAATTGTTATCGGTTTGCCCTCGCTTTAACAACGCGGCCAATCGACATTTCTCCAATCCAACGGGAACAATTAGTGACATTGCCTTATTGTAGAGCACCTTCCCATTCGGGAATTCGAACACAAAAACATTGAGAGAATTGACGACTGTTTTCGAGTTTTCCATTGAAACGCGCGCTAATTAAGCCGACTCTATCAATCTTGGGATCAAAATTAAGCAACTTATTTGGGTGAAGCTTGTAAAAAGGCTTAGATTTCCTTTGTCTACTCAAAAGTAGTTTTAATTTAATATGCATACTTTTCGCAATTATTGCTTTTAATCCCGTGAAGTTTCCCCCAACTGTTTGCAGACTTGAACGGAACCAGTTTGGTCTCGAACAGTTTCCTGCTTAATGTAGCACAGGAAACAGCTTTCTGTGCTTGTACACAATCTACCTCCCTCATTGTTATTAAGGCGAGGAGCAGAATGGTCTAATCAGAGCAAACGTTTTTGGTTGCCAAAGAATCGCATTGCAAAAGGGGAACGATCATGCAACTCTCGCGCAAAATAGCTTAATTTCCTGCTACCAATCGATATGGAAACGACGGATATAATATGGCTTTTCAATGCCGTTTAATAGGAAGATAAAATCGCCCCTGAAATGTTCCCGATCGAAAACGATATGAATTTGAAACCCAAGAACGTTCATCGATTATTTAGTGAGTAGAATTACGGCTCGTCTACAGAAGTAGACGAAGTTTGCTGAATGAAGCAGCAATGGAATGGTTTCCTGTATGCGATCGTTTAGGATTTATGTGATTTTATTGCGCTTAAATCTGCCTCTGTTCCAAACTTGCTGTTATAGGAGATTTTTTATGCAAATTCTAAAGTGAGAAAAGTATGGTCTCCTGCTTCTGATTACTCTCTTCAAGGAGCAAAAGGACCTCAAAAACCAGGAAAGTGTCCAAGCTTTATTGCGTCTGAACGGTTAGAGATAGGCGAAAAATAAAGATGCTTTTTGCATATGTTAAAACTGTCTCTAAAAACCCTACAAGTTTCATTAAAATCGCATTGAAATCTGTTTTTGCACGCTTTATAAGCACAGGTGAAAAAATGCTCAACTGCCCGATCGTCTTTGAACAATGATAACTTCCCATCCAGGGCTGGTAGCAACTTGAAATTTGCACACTCTATAGAAGACACCTGTATCTGAAAATCCTGAAAGTTTTATTCAACTTGCAATAAAATTAGATTTTTGTGCGATTTGTACGCACATGTGAACAAATGGAAGTTTTCGCACAACTGCACGATCCTCTTTAAAAATTCGTAAGTTTCCATCCAGAATAGGCAGCAACTTGAAACTTCCGGCCGCTATAAAAAACACTTGACTCTAAGAACCCAGAAAGTTCCATTCAAATTGCTTTAAAATCTGATTTTTCCGCCCATTGTAACTACACATGAAAAATGGACATTTTTTGCTCAACGGCACGATCGTCTTTAAAAACCCATAACTTTCCATCCTGCGGAGGCAGCAACTTGAACTTTGCAGACAGTTTAGAACACACTTAGTTCTGCAAATCCCGACAGTTTAATTTAAAACACAAAAAACATTATTTTTGCCTGCTTTATAAACGCGGTTGAAGAAGTGCGAGTTTCCACCCTATTGCATCATAGTCTGTAAAAATTTGCAACTTCTCATCCAGAACAGACAGCAACTTGAAACTTACCGAGTCTATAGAAGGGGAATGTCTCTAAAAACCCTACAGGTTTCATTAAAATTGCATTAACATCTGATTTTTGCGCGCTTTATAAGCACATGTGAAGAAATGCTCAACTGTCCCATCGTCTTTGAACAATGATAACTTCCCATCCAGGGCTGGTAGCAACTTGAAATTTGCACACCCTATAGAAGACACGTGTCTCTGAAAATCCTGAAAGTTTTATTCAAATCGCAATAAAATCTGCTTGTGCGATTTGTAAGCACATGTGAACAAATGGAAGTTTTCGCACAGCTGCACGATCCTCTTTAAAAATTCGTAACTTTCCATCCACAACAGGCAGAAACTCTAAACTTCCGGGAGCTATAGCAGACACCTGAGTCTAAAAACCCAGAAAGTTTCATTCAAATTGCTTTAAAATCTGATTTTTCCGCCCATTGTAACCACACATGAAAAAATTTACATTTTTACTCAACGGCACGATCGTCTATAAAAATCCGTAACTTTCCATCCTGCGGAGGCAGCAACTTKAACTTTGCAGACAGTTTAGAAGACACTCGATTCTGCAAATCCCGAMAGTTTAATTTAAAACACAAAACCATTATTTTTGCGTGCTTTGTAAACGCAGGTGAAGAATTGCGAGTCTCCACCCATCTGTATAATCGTTTTTAATAATTCGTAACTTTTCATCCAAAACGGGCAGCCAATTGAAACCTGCAGAGTCTATAGGAGGCAAATGTCTTTAAAAACCCTACAAGTTTCATTAAAATCGCACTGAAATCTGTTTTTTGCGCGCTTTATACTTACTATACTTAAAACTCACAAAACCCTGCAGTGGTTCATGGTAGAGACAACATTTTTTAAAGAACATTCCGCTCGTACTTATGACTTAAAATTGAATTTTTCCAGCTTTCCCTGATATTGAAACGCTTCCCTGCCGACATTTCACCGAGATTTACTTTGGCAATGTTCAATAAATATGGAAAATTCAAGCAAAAATCTCTAGTGCTCTACTCTTCATATTTAATTGCACATAACCCTGTTTGGGCGCAGGAATATTGAAAAAAATTCCCGATATTTAAATTGAGGCTCCAGGAAATTGTCTTTTGTGCTCAGCTCTCGCGCAATATGTCATGATGAGCTTCATGAAACAAAGGCAGAACCCGTGAGACTCTTCGCACGAAAATTTCCTCAATATCGGGCTTGCATTTTGTTTTCATTTTCCTTTGTTTCCGACTCTTTGGAGTCTCACATTTTCCAGTCATCCCGGGAGTTCTAAAATAGCACCTGGCCGGCCGTATGGATCGATTTCTTGCGATTATTTCCAGAGATTATGGCTAATGCTATGGCCAACAACGTAATGGGGTTGTTGCAGGATTAAGTCGCTGTTTGGTAGTCGAAGTTTCTATAATTCCATTAAGAAGAGTTATGAGCTTGTTTAGTGCGTATTTACTCAAACAATCTAAAATATCTTGCACACTGCTTGATAATCAGGTGCCTAAGCAAACACGGCTTAGGCATTCCCGGTAAACTCATTTTCATTCAACAACCTTTACTAATTTGCAATCATTATGATACTCCGCTGCATATGATGATTAATTATTCGCATTTACAACGTCAAAAATCGCGATAATTCCCAGATAAACGTTTGCCGAAATGGGCGCAGTCTTGTCAATCGCCTTATTACCATGTTTATTGCTATTCGCACTTGCATTTGCATAGGCCTTATGTACTGGAAATAGCAATAAATGGTGATTTCATCCGTCTACAACCGTCACAGCTACGGAACATACTTTTTTTCAAGGAATTGCGACAAAACGTATTTGTTTAGAGTTTTGCTGCTTTCTGTTTTTGCTAGATTTTTCAACTGGAAAATCCGCAGCAAAAATCCACATTGGCTCTTAAGCATTTTGCCATCAAATTTTTGCTGAACACCAGAAGCTGCTACGTTTAACGCATTGATCTGGAACAGGCGCAGCTTAAACACCATTTTTTTTTGTAGACTAAGAGCATTGTGTTACCTACACGCCGAATTAGATCGACAAATATTTAAACGGCTTTGAAACAATAAACTCTGATAAAATCGCTTTGCAATGTTTTAACAATGATAGCGCACTTAGTTCAGCAATTAACGCGCAAGAAAGCAGAAGAACTGTGACTGAGTCTTGAGTGTTTTCCTTAAATTTCAGGTAATTTTTTCCTGCTTTAAAACAGTTCTTTTACAATTATCATTAGCACCCAACTCTAGACACTGAATGCTCAATGATGCAACGTTAGTCACAAATCAAATTCATTCCTGGGTTTCAGTCATTTATTGTCTCT